AGAGAGAGGGACTGGATTACCATAGAAACCTCTTGGACTATTCAGGGACTCGGCAGAATGAGGTGAAAGCTGAAGTGGTCTCACTCTCAAGGTCACGGCAGAGTCGATCAGCGGATGTTTTCGGAGCTTTTCTCTGTAATAGCCACAAAAAAGGTGTAATTTGTATCTTCTCGTCGCGCACAGCTATACCGGAGTCTAAGCCTTTTGGATGTTCTTTTACGGGCTGGTGACCATTCTGATGCGCACTGAACTCCCAGCCATATGGAGCAGACGGGATTGGCGGCACAAAAACGCTCTTTGTGGAACAGCAGATTATTGCGATGCAGGTATTTATTAGTTAGATGCAGTTCAATAATAACAAAGAACTCCTAATGCATCACTCTGGGAAACACACCGGTCCTTCCTTCTTTTTTCTCCTCCCCAAAAAAGCGAAAAAACCCCTCCACATAAATCTCAGAAAAACTTTCCCCCCCTTTACCCCTCCCTAAATGACGTTAAAAATGCTTGCCGGGGGGGGGGGGGGGTCTCTGCTTCTATATAAATAACGAGGAAAGAATGCAACTTTTCCAAAATCTCTCCTCATCTTTATGATTTTTTAATGAGCCCCTCTATTAAAAAGGTTTTTAGTCAGAACTTTCATTCTACAAGAACAAGAGCAGTTACGGTTGTTTTCACTTGTTAAGATGGAGCCGGCTGGTAATTTGGGTGTTTTGGGTGAGAGGTTAATGAAGTTTAGATGACTCTGTGGTCTCCACACAGCCGAGTGAGCTACTTCACTTTCTTCCTCCCTCGCGCTCACACACCGATACGAAGGCTTCACTTACCACAACAAAAGCATTCAAGGGAAAGCATCGCTAAGACGTCTGGATCCAAAGCCTCCACGTATGAGATCAACAGAAGTAGGAGAACTTCCCCATGTGCTGCATTGGTCTTGACACCTTTATGGGACGCACGTGTCCGCAGAGAGAAACCACGTCCAGCAGCATCAACATAACCACTAATCCCCTCCAGCCTCGACACAACCTGCGCCACACGTCAGAGCTAATGCAAGATTTTAGAGTGAAAGACTCTAAAATCCCCGATACTCGGATAACTAATCCAACCGCCAAGAACCTTTTATAAAGAAGCAAAAAAAACATATGATGGATTACTTTTCTAAAGCAACTTTTAGGGGACCGCAATATATTTTCATGTTGCATGAATAAACTGAAACAAACTGAAAGGAAGAAAATCGACCGTCAGCGGTCAGAAATGATAATGTCAGCAGCATCGTGGCGTCGACGTGGCCCCGGCCAGCTGAAGCTGAAGCTATGAAGCTACAAGTGTGTCACACACAAACACACACCTTTGGTCCATCTGTCCAAACCGAACAATGCAATGCTCTACAAAACTACCTCTCATTTGGACAACCACGGCTGTGTGTGTGTGTGTGTGTGTGTGTGTGTGTGTGTGTGTGTGTGTGTGTGTCTGCTTGTGGTCTCTGATTGGTAGCCAGCCAATGGCCCCAAGATATACCCCCCTCACCTCCTGGTGACGATGCAGATCTCTCATCTCACTGCCCCAAATTCTCCTGACAGACACTTCTGGTCTCACTGAGACCACCATGTGTGAGTCTGTGTGTGTGTTTGCTGGAGATGTGTGTGTGTGTTGTTTGTGGTGGAGCTCCGATAATGATCATTTTCCCAGATGGAACTTACTGTGCGTCCCCGTCACCCCCCCTTTGTTCACACCTCCTTCCCCTTTCTTCACTCACAGGGGTGTCGGAATAAATGTAAACACTGTAAAACCACATCAGGTTTTGTGAGACACAATGATTCTCTTTGCATGTAAACATCTCTGCGATGTTAAAGATCTTTCACACTCGCACAGGTTTTACTATGTTGCAATAAAATAAAACCACCGATTAAAGTAAATCT